ACCAACTCTCTAGGATTCTCTTTTGACACGTCGAGTACTCCCCTGACTCGACGAGTTCCACCTGGTCATGAATCTTGGGGCCACCACGAGTCAACTCGCCGAGTCGCAAGGACAGCTCGGCGAGTTCCAGCTCGACTCAGTCCACCTGTCAATCCCTCTCTAACTCTCCGTGACTCACTGAGTCAACCATAACTCGGCAGGACCACTCACTGAGTGGTTAAGGACAAACTTCATGCTACTCGCCGAGTCTGTTCTTCAGACTCGGCGAGTCCATGCCATGCATCAGCTCAATCTTGATTCTGAGGTTAGATCTGCTCCATACACTCATAGATCTGGCCCTCCTAAGCTCATTCATCATGTAAAGTCACAATCTTGGTTACCATGCAACATTTACAAGGCTCTTTTTGGAGAAATGACCTCTAAGATGGCAACCCTAGTCTCCAACCCAAAAGGAAGGACATAAAACATAGCATTTAGGACTTTCTGGACCTGCTAAGGTCCAGATCTAGGTACCATATCTCCATGGGACCTCTCACACTTTAATTACAAAGCAAACAAGGAAAGAAGAAACCCTAGATTTGACCATATCAACAAAATACGGAAATAAATTCTGAAAGATACCTCAAGAAGCTTCCCTTGACGAAATGGAAGTAGATCCAAGCTCCCAACTCTTCTAGCTTGACTTTCCCCCTTCCTTTCTTGCAAATACACACAAATTTGGTGAACAATGGCCTCTTATCTCACTCACAGGAACCCTTAGCTGCTTTGGTGCTCTCAAGGATCAAAGTTGCCACAATGAAGGGCCATAAGGTCCTTTAAATAGAGCTTAGGACCGGGAAATTAGGGTTTCACTAAACAGCGTAGACTCGCCGAGTCCAGGCGCAAACCCGCATCCATAACTGCGACCCTACTCGACGAGTTTGAGCTCCAACTCGCCGAGTCCCCTCACAAAACACCAAAAAATATATAAATGAAAGATACCTGGAAATCCGGGTTGTTACAGCTATGTGCTTTTCAGTGTTATTATTCTGGGTTATTTTCCCGTGTTATTTTATTCGCAATGTTTATAGCAAATGTAATACCTTTGACCATGTGATCAGTGAAAGGACTTAGATTCACATTGGTACTGGTACGTAGCCTCTGGCCATGTAGAGCATGTCTCCGTAAGAGAATGACTTCGATTCTATGGCATTGGCAAATGGTTAGACAGGACTATAAACCTGACATCTAACAAGGTGTTAATCAGAAATTGCATGTCTTCTATGCCATTTGGGCCAAAGTTTTATTGATATATATCAAGCATTGAAAACTATATCTTTGAATAAAGTCTTTGATTAATATGAACGCTTGTCACATGATTTCACATATGTCTTGTTGTTCCTCTTTGCTTTTGCCATATTGAAGTATATATATGGCATAACGTTATATTGTATCTGTTATTGAATTCACTAAGCATCACCGCTTACCCTATCAATGTTTAACAATTGCAGGTGCTAAGAACTAGTATGATCACATACTGTTGAAAGATTTAGAATAGTTTGTAATAGTACTTTTGTACTCCAGTTTATGTTTGTATAAATTACAATATCCTAGGTAGTTATGTAATATATAACACTTTGTAATAGTCGGTTTGTATCCAGTAGTTTGTAATCTCTTTATCAATGTAAAATATTGCTTATATGAATATGCAAGTAGCATGTTTTGGTGTAATAATATTGTGAAGTGTGAAAGTTTGAGTCTTTCAAAAATACGAAAGTTGGGGTCTTTCAGTTTCCTCATATGTATTGTACGATTCAATCCACATAATTTTACTATCGATTTGTTGTTTCCCCTCAGCTCGTCGATTGAGTAAGAGTTTGACTGCCAAAGCCCTAATCGGTGGCCTCCCCATAACTAACGACCTCCCCATTGGCGATCTTTCATCATCGGCGACGTCACCAAACTTCTACAGGTGTGGTTTTCTTCTTCTTTCTTCACCGTTTTTTCTTCTTTTCATCCCCTTTTTTCTTCTCACCACATAAAACTCAACTTTGCTAGAATTTCTAGCTCCACTTTTGCGATTTAGAGCTCCCTACCATAAAATCTTGAAATTTGGAACAACCATTTTCTCCGCCGGATTACACCTCTATAGGTTCTACATCATCTTTTTTATTTTTAATTTTGTATGTGGAATGTATATTTTGTTTATGTATGTCTATGTATTTGTATGTGTGTACATATATTTGTGTGTGTCTATATATATATATATATGTGTGTGTGTGTGTGTGTGTGTATTTTTGTATGTGTATTATGTTTGTATTTGTGTATTATGTGTGTCTATGTGCTTGCTAGTTATTGGGATTGAGTTGCACTTGTCTCTTGATCAAATTCTGCATAATGTTCTCCTAGGAACTAGCCCATTTTCCATTTTTATGCTTCCAAGACTAGTTAATGTTCTGCTATCATGAATTATGCATAATTTCTTCAATCTCCGATCTTTTCCACTCCTTTTAGTCTTCTATAAATCTGAAATTAAACAAATGCTAGAAGTGTTCAAATATAGATAAAAAAGAGAAATATGTATGATTATTAAGTTAAAATAAGATAAAATATGCTAAAAACCTATAAAAAAAAGTAAATAAAATGCATCTATCAGAGTAACATGAACACCAAAACCAATAAATGAGATACTTGGAGCACTATAAAGATGTGGTCTTTCGTAGTCGAGAGTTTCTTTGGAATGGTAAATATGATGGATTCCTAAATATGGAGAAAGTTATAGGTACCATATCATTCTTCTTAAATGAAGGATCATAATAAATAAATAGACAAATGTCTCTTGGATTTTGGGTCCAAAATAACTCATTTTGATAATAATGATGAGGACAAAAGTGCACAAAAACATTAAGTTTAGACAAAACGGTGATTCCACCACTGTGTTTTTTTCTCAATTAAGTCACTAAATTTATAATTTTGTTGCTAATTTAACCAATCGACCGATTTGTTTCATGTGTTTCATTTTCTCACTTGAAGACTAGGTAAGAAGCTAGCGTAGCTTCCACATATGAGCATAGTTGGCAAACATGTGTCCCTAATCTCTTCTTTTATTCTCTTAGAGAATCATTATTTTTTCAATGACTTCTCAATGTCGTTCAAGTGGTTCATCATCCTAAGGGAACCTTGTTGCTTGCCCACCGTAACATCTCCTAAAGGAAACATTTCTTGCCTTGCTTATACCATCCTTAAATGATGACCGACTTGAGCGATCTTGGAAAGTTATTGCATAAAATCTTGATGCTAGAAAAGAAGAAGAAATTAAGGAAATTAAGTATAGATCTACATAATGGTTCAATTGAACACAAATGTTTGTCGATTGGAGTCATATATGAAAATCATATCAACTTTTTGTCTAGGTAGTATGTTAGAAACATAAAATACTTGAAGTAAACCGTTTGCAACAGATTGTAAACTTTGCAATTTAATTGAGAAAAGAGAAACATAGTATCAATCAAAATTTCATGTAAACTTATTTTTTTAATGAAATTTTCCTTTAGGATAAATAAACTTCTAAAAGGCACTCTAAAAGATGAGTTTCTGTTATTGTGCATATTGTATTTTTGTAATTATCTTTGAGTTTTTGAAGGGTAAATATAATTAAAGTTAAAATTAACTTAAATAAGTTGTATTTTTGGAAATTAAAATCAATTTGTTGCATTAATTTATGGTGGAAAGCATAAACAGAGTAACCGAGGATCTTGGTATTAGGGTTCAGGAATTCGCTTTTCTTGGAAGATTAAGAGGTACTTCACTCTGAAACCCTAGTTTTCCATCATCCACGCATTGATTTATCAACTTCCATTTGCTAACTGCATAATTTAGAGATCAGGGCATTCGAGTTTCATAATGATTTTACTTTAGTCATTATCGTATTTCAGTTGATTGGAACTTGATAAATCAAGAGAATACTAAATAAGGAAAAGACTGTATTATCAGAAGAAGATGTTTATTCGTCTTCTATAGAGATTGTTGTTTGATGTATACTGCATTATTAACAAAAGGCTACAACGTCTGTCCACGTCGTTTTGATTTTAAGAAGTTTACTCTTCTGTTGTTCGAATTCTAAGATTGGTACGGGATGGTCGAGATTTTTAGTTTTAAAAAGTTTTCTTTTGTTATGGTGATAGCTGTTGATTGTTTAATGTAATCATCATGTTTATCCGTAATCAAATAGTTCTTATTAAGTCTTAAAGATGCTTAAATAACCTCTTTGACATTATTGTTATTATGTTAATGCTAGTCGATATTTTTTTACCTGTTAGCTAGTGATTCTACTATTAGTATATGAAGATGGAATTTGGAATTTATATTTGTCTAACCAAATCAAAATACCTATTTTCTTCATTCATATATCCGTTCTTGCATAAAGTTATGTATATGAAACACAACTATGTATTTGCTCTTATGGTGTTAAAGCATAAGAACTTATTTTGGGCATTTATTCACTGGTATTGTAAGTGTAAAATTGGGTTCCTGGTTAGTTAGAAAGGGAAAATACAGTGCACGATATAGAATCTTGTCACCTTTTTGGATACTCAATTTCATTAGAAGAACTTAGAAGAAAGCATAGATGGTTTCATCATGAGATTTATGTTAATTGAAGTAACAATCATATATATACTTATCAGCTAGCTAGAAGAGTTATCAAATTTGCAAACAGCCTTAATACATCCACAGAAGTGATAAAAGTATTCTGATTAAACGATGATAGGTAATCCAATTCTGTTCATGTGACCCGCGGGGGAGACCATCAAATTATAAGACCAACCTTATGAGGAGCACCACCTGATGAATTATTATTGTTGTGTCCAAAATTGTGCTCCACTTTTTAGTTGCATTAGGACTCGGCAAGCATAAGAAGTATTGTTATTTACCATCCAATTACCTGATTTTATTACGTTTTGAAGTGTAGACTATCGTTTGTACGTGCTTGACTGAATATTGTTAACGAGGTAGAGCAGAGAATGGAGTTTGATCACAATAAAATTGGACGAGTGGTAAAAGAGGATAGATTAAGCAGCTTACCAGATGAGCTTATTCATAATATCCTTTCCTGTCTTGACATGAAATTTGCTGTTCAAACGTGTTTGTTGTCATCAAGATGGAAGCTTCTGTGGACATCAATGCCGTGTCTCAACTTCACTAGTTGGCAATTTACTTCTTTACCAAAGTTTTCCAAATTTGTGAATCATGTTTTGTCTCATCACAACCATCAAGTTGAAGTATCTACTGTAAAGCTACATTTCACTGGAGCAGCAAGTCAGGTTTTTGTGAGAAAGATTGTAAAATATGCATTCTCTCACAAAGTCCAACAACTAACTGTTTATGGTTCGGCCAAATACCGCCTTACAAATTACCCTCCTTGCCTATTCAGCTCTCATTCCCTTAAACATTTAACGTTGACTGCCCAGCATAGGCCTTGCATTACACCCAAAACGCCTTGGGACTTTCCAGCTTTAACAACTTTGCATCTCAGTGACATCATATTGTGTGAAGATGACACTGAAAAGTCTCTTGATCTTTTCTCCAAGTGTGTAAACTTAGAGAATCTCACTTTAGAACTTTTCTCTGTCGGGAATGTGGAAGTGTTTGACATCATTACCCCTCGACTTTCTAATCTCATGCTTGCCCATGGCAACAGTTGTTCAGCAGTCATCAATCTGATTGCCCCTCAACTTGAGAAACTCACAGTAATTAGTTTCTCATTCAAGTACTTGAATGCTCCACCAGGACTTTCATCTTTGTTATACTGGGGTCGTCCCCCCCTGCAATTTTGTAAAGATCGATTTTACTCTCTAAACGAAGTGACTATCTGTTTTAATTCTTTTGGTTCGCGGTATAAAGAGGAAGACGCACGCAAGACTATGAACTTGCTTCAAGAGCTCCACACTGCAAGATATCTAACACTTAATGTGGACATTGTCAAGGTATGTTTATATTATATTTCAGAAATTTATGACATGTACTGTAGAAATTGCAGATAAATGAGCGGGTATACAATTTATGTATACTTTTATCCATCTTTCATATTTGTACTTATTTGTTGTAATTTCTTTGCAGTGTATTTCCTCATTTCCGTATTTATTATCACACCATCCATCACCTTTTAGCAACTTAATCAGCTTGACCATAGATTACCACTTGAATAGGGATGCATATGGAGAAGAAATATCTACTGAAGCTAGAAACTTCTTGCTTGAGAACTCTCCAAGTGCCACTTTAATCATGAAATCACCCTGAGCTATGGCTTTTATCAGAATGATATACTCATAACAATACTTCCCATTTATCAAGTTTTTATATATATATTTTTTTATAGCTTTTATCTGTTGCTATTTTTGCAATGTTTTGCTCATTTTAGGCAGTCCTTGGCACCATATATAATGTTGCTTTTTTATGGTTTTTTTGTGGCAATATGATATTTCTGTCTCTTGGCTAATTTCTAAAGGGTTCTGGACTGAATGTCTAACTAATTGAAACAGATTAAATGACAATTTAAATGCTTCCTGTAACTTATCCTACCATTCCAAGTACACCATTGGACTTGTGAGGGTTGCATTTATTGATAGGACCTTCTGTGTTTATTACATGAGTAGAACAACAGCTACCTTGTTTTGTGTTGCCTTTGCTTTCGGTAGATGCCACCTGACTAAAATCATCTATCAGATTAAGCTTGTCTTGATTTATAGAAGGGATTCATAGCAGTTTTAAAGTTTGCACATACATTAAATTAACTTATTTTCCTAAAATTGGTAAATGTCAACATTGAGTAACAATCCTGTTCCGATTCTTCTCTTTTTTCCTAAAATGTCAACATTGAGTATCAATCCTGTTAGAACTTTCGCTCAGAAATCATGCAGTGCACCTATGTTTTTGTTTATCATAGCATCTTATTTTTAATTCTTCCTATAATAACATTGTATTTTCAAAAGTCTACGTAATTATAGCACTGTCATCTAAAGATAGTCTATCCAATTATAACAATGTCATCTAAAAACAAAAGGTTACCCTCATCTTCAAGGTAACTTTATGATTATCTTGTAGATTACTCATACCTATGTCAAGATAATTAAATGGTTTAATGCAACAAATTGGAATTTATTTTCACTTATATGTGGTATTATAACATCAATACTTTCTATTTATGAATTAGTTTCCTCAACTTGCCTATGTAGTCGGAAAGAGTTTTAATCATTATGAACTGTTTTATGTTTTACATAAACGTTATAGAAACTTCTAAAGAGGTTTTAAAGTAAACCTGAGCATAACTTAAACCTTGTTTGGATCCGATCTTGGCTTTTTTGGATTTGATTAATCGGATTATAAAAGATACAGTGGATTTAATAGTAGAGGCCTAAGGGAGTAGGATAACATGACGGATAAATTCTTACATAACAAACGAGTTTGAAGGGTTTGTGACATGATTAGGTTTACCTTTGTATACCTAAAAATGTGTGTAGTTAATTTGTTAGTTATAATTAAAACTATGATTATAATATGTAGAGACCATGTATAAGTTAAGTCTAACTAGGAACTTGCCTTGCCACGTGTTGTGGCGGTGTCAAAATCCATTTTGTAAGTTGAGTTTTAACGATTGTATTGATAAAAGTTAGGTACAATTTCATTTGTTGGTAAATAGATATATAAGGTCGGTAAAACTAACACCAATTTATACCGTCCTAGGAAACGTACATAAAATAAGTAGGAAAATGTACATACAAAGTATAAACACGAAAGTGGAGGGAGCCAAAAAAGAACAAAGAAAAAATGTTAGGGGCTGAAATTGCCATGTAAAATATGTTAACTTAAAAATCGAATCAGGACCAAAAGGAAAAATAAAAGGCATGGACCACAATTGCCAAAGTGGAATTAGAACAAAAAAAAAAAAAAAAAAAAAAAAAAAAAAAAAAAAAAAAAAAGGTGGGGAGGGACTAAAGATGGCAACTAAAGTTGCCACCGACATTGATAAATAGAGAAAATGACTTATAAGCCCAACAAAGTTTTCAAACTGTTCAAAAAACTCAATTATGTTTTATCTGTTCAAAAAAACTCAACTAACTTACACTTTCGTTCACTTCTCATTTAGGGTCAACCAGCTAATGAAAGTCAACGAACGACATGACTTATGATGTGTAATTAAATATCGGAAAATGACTTGTAAGACCAACGGAGTTTCAAAACCATTCAAAAAACTCCAATCATGTTTTGTTTGTTGAAAAAATCTCAACGAATTTACGCTTTTGTTCAATTCTCGTTAGAGGCAACCAGATTCATTACATATACAACTAGTTGGCAAATGACATGATATTATATTTAATGACATGGAATAAACAAATTAGAATTTCCCTTCGTATATCGATTTAGGGCTTTGAGATGAGAAAAACGAATGGCGTCCGTGTTCGATATCTTGTAATAGCTACTTATTATTCTTCCTCTCAATCGTTGATGTCCAACTCAATATCTAGAAAGAAGATATTTGATGATGAAAACCCTTGTGTATGTGGACGCCCTTCTTGGATTTGGATATCTAGAACGGAGGATCATCCAGAGAAAGTTGTATATGTTCTTTCTACTCCAAAACCAAAAGAAGTTGAAGATGCAAGTCTGGAACAAATCGGAAGGAGAAGCAAATGGGAGAATGAAAACTACATCTGCCTTGGTCACATTCTGAATGGTATGTGTGATTTCCTCTTTGACACTCATCAAAACATTGAAACAACAAGTGAATTATGGAACACACTTGAAGCAAAATATATTCTAGAAGATGCTTCAAGTAAAAAGTTCATTGTTTCTGATTTCAACAATTATAAAATGGTTGATTCTCGATCTGTAATGGAACAATATAATGAAATCTTATGAATTTATGGTCAATTTAAAGAACACAACATGTCCATGTACGAATCCTTTGCTGTTTCAAGTGTGATTGATAAACTTCCACCCTCATGGAAAGATTTCAAAGACCATTTGAAACACAGAAAGGAAGAAATAAGTTTGATTCAACTTGGGAGTCATTTAAAAATCGAAGAAGGACGTCGTGATCAAGAGAATGACAAAGGAATTGGAAAGGGAAAATCTGATTTTGGACAGCCCCAAGTTCATATGGTTGAATGTGATAAAGAAGACAATTCTAATCACAATGGCAAGGGTAAAAACGTAAGTATGAGGGTAACAACAAAAAGTCCAACAAAAAATACATGAATTCCAAGGAACTTGTGTGATGGAGATGCCATCTGAAAGGGCATATGAAACGTGACTGTCGGGTGAAACTTAGAAATAAAGGTGCTAGTGGTAGTGGAAAAGAGGGTGTTGGTGGTGGCAGTGGGTCTCATGATCAATCTGCAACCAAAGGTCAATTAACTATTGATCTTGTAAGTTCAATATTCAATGTTATGCTACTAAACCCTGAAGTTTCTTTTGTACAGGGGGCTGATACAGATTCATGGTGGCTTGATACCTGCTCTACACATCACGTGTGTAATGATGAACGATGGTTCACGAAGTTGAACATAGTAAATAAAGGTTCTGTCTTACACATGGCGGATGAAGGATTAAAGTCAATTTTAGGAACTGGTGTTGTTAGTATTACGTTTACATCTGAAAAAACAATTAGTTTGTTTGATGTATTGTATGTTCCAAAGGTTCGAAAGAACCTTGTGTCTAGTGGTTTGTTGAATTGTATGGGTTATAAACAAGTAATCGAGTTGAACAACTATGTGTTATCTAAATGTGGAATATTTGTGGGATTTGGTTACTATTGTGAACATGTTTTTAAGTTAAATGTTATAAGTTGTTTTGCATCACATGTCAAATCTACTTGTATGACTTCTGCATCTAATCTTGATAATTTTATGTTATGGCATAATAGATTAGGACATGTTCATATTAAAATAATGGTTGAAATGTCAGATTCCGGATTGATTCTAGCTTTTGACATTAATTCTGAAAAATGCAAAACATGTATGTTAACTAAAATCACGAAACAACCATTTCCAAATGTTAATAGAAAATCAGAAGTGTTGGAATTAATTCATAGTGATATATGTGATTCTCATGCTACACCTTCCTTGGGAAATAAAGAGTACATTGTTACTTTAATTGATGATTCAAGTTGGTTTTGTTATGTGTACTTGTTACATTCCAAAAATGAAGCTTTGGAAAAGTTTAAAGTATATAATACCGAAGTCGAATTACAGTTGGATATTTCGATAAAATGTCTTAGGATAGATAGGGGAGGAGAGTACATGGATTCTGAATACTTTCAATTGGTTGGAATCATTCACGAAATCACAGCTCCGTACAATCCACAACAAAATGGTGTTGATGAACGGAAAAATTGAGTTTTAAAAGAAATGGTAAACTCGATGCTTTCTTTTTCGGGTTTAAGTGAAGGCTTTTGGGGTGAAGCCATGCTCACAACCAATTATGTGCTAAACCGGGTTCCTAATAAATGAAACAAAGTTACTCCTTATGAACTTTGGCACACGAAAGCACCAAATTTGAATTATTTTCGAATTTGGGGATGTCGAGTAGTTGTGAAATTACCCGAACCTAAAAAGAAAATTTTAGGTGAAAGAGGAACTGACTGCATATTTATTTGATATGTAGAACATTCCAAAGCTTATAGGTTCTATGTTATAGAACCTAATGAGGCATATTCCGTTCATACCATTATAGAGTCGCGGGATGCGATTTTTGATGAGCTGCGGTATTCTTCAATTCAAAGACCAAAGGATATGATTCCAAGCACAAGTGAGGTGCCTAAATCAGATGTCAAGGAAGTTGTTTCAATTCCAAAAACACAACAATTTCGTAAAAGAAAACGAGGTCGAGTCGCGAAAAATTTTGTCGATGAATTTCAATTATTTTTAGTTGAAGGTTCGAGGGATAAAGTGAAGAAACAATACTCATATTCCTCTCATCTTGAGACTGATCCAAAGAATTTTAAGGAAGCTATGGAATCTCGAGATGTTGCGTTTTGGAAAGAAGTGGTTGATGAAGAGATGTCATCTATTATGGAGAATAATGTTTGGGTGTTATCTGATCTACCTCCTGGTTCTAAGCCATTGGGATGTAAATGGATTTTCAAGAAGAAAATGAAGGTAGATGGAACCATTGATAAATTCAAGGCTCGTCTGGTCATACAAGATTTTACACAAAAAGCCGATATCGATTATGGTAGCACGGATTTCTACCATTAGATTGTTGCTTGCTTTGGCAGCTATTTACAATCTAGTTATTCATCAAATGGATGTAAAAACAACTTTTTTGAATGGTGATCTTGACGAGGAAGTTTATATGAAACAACCAGAAGGTTTTGTTCTGCCTGGAAATGAGCAAAAAGTGTGTAGACTTGTAAAATCATTGTATGGACTTAAACAAGCTCCAAAACAATGGCATTTGAAGTTTGATGAAGTTATTTTGTCTAATGGTTTTTCTTTAAACCAATCTGACAAATGTGTTTACAACCGTTTTGATTCATCTGGATCTGGTGTGATCATTTGTTTGTATGTAGATGATATGTTGATTTTTGGCACTGATCAAAATCAAATTAATGCAACAAAGAATTTATTGTCTTCAAAGTTTTCCATGAAGGATATGGGGGAGGCGGATGTAATCCTTGGAATAAGGATTAAACGGGTGAACAAGGCACTTGCTATTACACAGTCACATTACATTGAGAAAATTCTCAAACGATTCAATTACAATGACTATACACCTGTTAGCACCCCTATGGATTCAAGCATGAAGTTGATGACTAATAGAGGCAAATCAGTTTCTCAATTTGAGTAGTCGCAAGCTATTGGTTCTTTGATGTATGCTATGACTAGCACTCGTCCTGATATAGCTTTCGCAGTGGGGAGATTGAGTAGATTTACTCATAATCCTAGTACTCAACATTGGCACGCGGTTCATCGTGTTTTCAAGTATTTGAAAGTAATCAAGGATTATTGTTTGTGTTATTCAGGATTTCCTTCGGTTTTGAAAGATATTCTGATGCGAGTTGGATATCCAATAGAGAAGATCATTCTTCTACAACTGGTTGGGTATTCTTGCTTGGTGGAGGTGCTATCTCATGGGCATCTAAGAAGTAATCTTGTATAACAAGTTCAACAATGGAATCTGAGTTTATTGCATTGGCTGCTGCAAGTAAGGAAGTAGAATGGTTAAAGAATTTGATCTATGAGATTCCATTGTGGAGAAAACCGATTTCACCATTATCTATCCGTTGTGATAGTGTTTCTGCTTTGAGTAAAGCTTATAGTCAAGTTTAGAATGGTAAATCGAGACACATTGATGTTAGACATGGGATGATTAGAAATCAAATCATGGATGGTGTGATTTGGATTGAGTTTGTAAAATCACAACAAAATTTGGCGGACCATCTCACTAAGAGTTTGGCGCGAGACTAAGTGCACAAGTCTGTTATAGGGATGGACTTAAAGTCCTTGTAAATTCTTATGAATGAGACACACAATTCCCCTCTAATACAATGTTAGAGGTTGAATTCAATGAGGAAAACTTATTTATATGAATTGGAACACACATATAACTATCCCAAGGTACGTGTGTTTGAACCTGTAGAGACCATGATGAATTTGATTTCTTAATGATTCTTTTGATAAAATGTAGACAAGTACATGAATAAAAGAATCACCTATATGATCGTGAAGTGTAGCCGCACTTCAAAGAGCTTGGGACTTGGCTTTTATACGATCAAGAATGGATTGGGACACACGACTTTATAATTAGTGTCAAGTTATTTTGTTGAGATGATTGTAAAACTAATGTGTATATTATCTTCTGATATTCAAAAGAGTTGATGGGTTCAATCTTTGATATACCTTGATTTCTTGAATGTTTGAAATGTGTAATATACTAACATGAAAATTCAATCGTATCGATATTTTCATTTTTGCATTAGTTTCATTTCTTTTGTTTTTAAGTTTGTTAATTGAAGGTTACACTAAAATAGGGGAGGATTATTGGTGATTTTATCACCAAATATATTTTAGTGTAATGGACTTAACAAGTGTTTGAAGAATAATAATATTTTAGTTATATAATACAAGTTAGGAGGTGCGAGAGTGCACACTTGTATTTACTAAATATTATTAGTATTGAACCATAATCTACTGTGTCAAGTCGGGGATCCCACTCCCCGGTGAGCGGGCGGGGTTCGAGGCAGCACCTTTCACTTCATCTTCTTCAATTGTTCTGATTTGTCATTCTTGAAAAGACATTACAAGGTCTGATTTGTAATTCTTAAAAGATAGAAACTGCTGTGACTTATCCGTTGATTGGATAAAACTGTGAAAACGGCTATTGAAACACATAAGAAAAACGCAGAACGTTCTTTCACTTCATCTTCTTCAATTGTTCTGATTTTGTGCCTTAAATCAGAATTGCTGCATCAGGTTTTATCTAAAGTTTGGATTTCGTGATACCCAAGGCATATAGGGTCGAAGTATCTAACAAGAAAAATGTTAACACGATTCATGTTTGTGATCCAGATTTCCAATAACCCTAATTCGAATTTCCCCAATACTTTCTATTTATGAATTAGTTTCCACGACTTGCCTATGTAGTCGTAAAGAGTTTTTAATTGGGTGTACAATATATAAAAGCAAAATTTAAATGTGTATTATCATTATGAACTTTTTATGTTTTATTTAAACATTAGAAAAACTTATAAAGAGGTTTTAAAGTAAGCCTGAGCATACCTTAAACCTTGTTTGGATCTGTTCTTGGCTTTTATGGGTTTGATTCAAATCGGATTATAAAAGATACAGTGGATTTAATTGTAAATTTGTCTTTTTATTTTGATTAAGGGACTGATGACTCAACAAAACGAAATCTTTAAGTACCGTCCGAATTAAAAATATAAATCCAGTTAAAAATGTAAGGACCATATATATTAAAAATGTAAGGACCATATATATACGTTACCCCAAACCACACAACTATGTAGTTTACCCTAGAGAGCTTAAACAGAGTAAACGAGGATTTTGGTGTTAGGGTTTCAGGGTATTGGCCTTGTGATTTCTTGGAAGGTTAAGAGGTACGTCTCTCTCAAACCCAGGTTTCGATCATACACGCATTGATTTATCAACTTCCATTTGCTAACTGCACAATTTAGAAATCAGGGCATTCAAGTTTCATACTTCGTGATGATTTTACTTAAATCATTATCGTTTTTCAGTTGATTAAACCTTGATAAATCAAGAGAATAGCAAATAAGCAAAAGACTGTATACTATCAGGAGAAGATGTTTTTCTTCTTCTATAGAGTTTTTGTTTGATGTATTAGTAAAATTGCAATGATGTGTGGGGTATTTGATATTTATATAATCAGATAGTTCTTATTAAGTCTTAAAGCAACCCATTTGACATTATTCTTATTATTTTAATGCTAGTCGATATTTTTTACCTGTTAATTGGTGATCTCACAATAATACTATTTGTATATCAATTTGGAATTGGGAATTTATTTTGTCTAAGCATATGAAAATTCCTATTTCATCATTCATATATCACTTCTTTTATATAGTTATGTATATGAAACACAATTCTGTGTCTGTTCTTATGATGTTAAGCACAAAAACTTATTTAGGGCATTTATTCACTCGTATTGTAAGTGTAAAATTGGGTTCCCAGTTTGTTAGAAAGGGAAAATGCAGAGTACGATATATATATATATATATATATATATATATATATATATATATATATATATATATATATTATTGTCACCTTTTTGGATACTTAATTTCATTAGCAGAACATAGAAGAAAGCATGCATATATGGTTTCATCATGAGACTTATGTTAACAATCATATACTTATCAGCTAGCTAGAAGAGTTATCAAATTTGCATACAGCCTGAATCCATCTACATAAGTGATACAAATATTCAAGATGTGATTTGATGATGAACTGATGAGGTTAGAAAATCAAATTTTGTTCATGAGATCCATGAGGGAGACCATCAAATGATAAGACCAGCCTTATAAGGAGCACTACCTGTTGAATTATTACTGATGTGAACTAATATGTATTCGATCTCCATATTTAGTTGCATTAGGACTCAACATGTATAAGAAGTATTCTTCTTTAGTATCCAGTTAATTGATTTTTAATTTGACGCTTTGAAATGCAGACTATCATTCGTACGTGCTTGACTGGATAACAGAGAATGGAGTTTGATCGCAATAAAGTTGGACGAGTGGTAAAAGAAGATAGATTGAGCAGCTTACCAGATGAGCTTATTCATAATATCCTGTCTTGTTTTGACATGAAATTTGCTGTTCAAACATGTTTGTTGTCATCGAGATGGAAGCTTCTATGGACATCAATGCCGTGTCTCAACTTCGCAAGTTGGCGGTTTACTTCTTTACCAAAGTTTGCCAAATTTGTGAATCATGTTTTGTCTCATCACAACCATCAAGTTGAAGTATCTACTGTAAAGCTACATTTCACTGGAGCAGCAAGTCAGGTTTTTGTAAGAAAGATTGCAAAATATGCATTCTCTCACAATGTCCAACAACTAACTATCACTAGTTGTCCCAAATACCGCCTTAAAAGTTACCATCCTTCCCTATTCAGCTCTCACTCCCTTAAACATTTCACGTTGACATGCCATTATATGCAACTTTGCACTACAACTAAAGCACCTCTGGATTTTCCAGCATTAACAACTCTGAGTCTCAGTGAGATTGTATTGTGTAGTGATCTTTTCTCCAAGTGTGTAAACTTAAAGGATCTCACTTTAGAATATTTCTCTGTCAAGGATGTGGAAGTATTTGACATCATTACCCCTCGACTTTCTAGTCTCAGGCTTGCCCATGGCAGCAATTGTTCAGCAGACATCAATCTGATTGCCCCTCAACTTGAGAAACTCACTGTAATTTTTTGCTCATTCAAGTGCTTGAATGCTCCACGAGGACTTTCATCTTTGGACTACTGGGGTGATTTGCCCCTGCAATTGTGTAAAGATGGATTTTACTCTCTAAACAAAGTGTCTATCTTTTTTAATTGTTTTGATTTGCGATATAAAGAGGAAGATGCAATCAAGACTATTAAAATTCTTCAAGAGCTCCATAGTGCCAGATATCTTACACTTAACGTGGACATTGTTAAGGTATGTTGATATTATATCAGTATTTATTGATCATGTAGTGTGGAAACCGCAGACATCTTATTTGAATTGTTGAAATCCTTGGTGCATTGTCAAAAGGAATAAGACAAAATGGAAAGGAAAAAAAAAACGTGACTTAATGTGGTGGCTAACAAAAATTTATATTAATTTATCGAAATACTTGATACATTAGCGGGTATACAATCTATATATACTTTTATCCATCTTTAATATATATATTTCTTGTAATTTCTTTGCAGTGTATTTCCTCATTTCCGGATTTGTTGTTGCACCATCCATCACCTTTTAGCAACTTAATCAGCTTGACCATAGATTACCGATTGAATAGGGATGGAAAAGAAATATCTACGGAAGCTAGAAACTTCTTGCTTGAGAACTCTCCAAGTGCCGCTTTAATCATGAAATCACCCTGAGGGATTGCTATTATCAGAATGATACACTCATAACAATACTTTCCATGTGTCAAGTTTATATTTGTTTATAGCTTTTAACTGTTCATTACTTGCAACTTTGTTCATTTTATGTAGTCTTTGGCATCATAATATTGTTTTTTTTTTTTTTTTTTTTTTTTTGGTTTTTAGTGGCAATATGAAACTTTTGTCTTTTGGCTGATGTAGGGCTGTAAACGAACTGAACGTTCGACGAACCGTTCGTGAACTGTTCGGCTGGAAGTTCGTTTATGTTCGTTTATTTAATAAATGAACGAACATGAATAAAAATTATCGTTCGTTTAGTTAAATGAACGAACATGAACAATGGTCTCGTTCGTTCATTTATGTTCGTGAACGTTCGTTTATGATGTTCATTTACGTTCGTTTATGTTCGTTCGTTTAAGTTTATTTATATTCATCTATATTCAATTATTTTTTATTATATTGCTATATTATATGTTCGTTTATGTTCATATATGTTCAATTGTGTTTTTTTTTTTTTATCTTTGTTCGTTTATGTTTGTTCAGCATGTTCACGAACATAAATAAACGAACATGAACAAAGTAATTTGTTAAACGAACGAACATGAACAAGAAAATCTCGTTCGTTTATCCGTTCGTGTTCGTTTGTTGTTCGGCTAACTTAAACGAACGAACATGAACAAGACCTTGTTCTTGTTCGTTTGGTTCGTTTACAGTCCTAGGCTGATGTCTAACTTTCTAAAAAGGGTTCTGGATTGAATGGCTAACTAATTTAAACAAATTGAATGGCAATTCAAAATTATCCTACCAAGTACATCATTGGACTTGTGTGGGTTGCATTTATTGATAGGACCTTTTGTGTTTATTGCAAGAGTAGAATAACGGGTAATATGTTAACTTTTGAATAAAACCATAGAAAAATGGAAAGTTTGCTTCTTTTTTTGTGTTTTCAAAAGTATAATGACTATGTTATATTATGATTATTCATATTATAATCCATATGGGACGACAAGCAAAGATCAAAAACAAAATTTATATTGTCGTAAAACTTAGAAAAAGAGTTAATAGAGATGATTTTGATATAAAACAAATCTTCCATTAAATTCATTTGTATCGTTTATATCATACATCAAATTCATTTGTATATTTTATAAAAGTTTAATGTCATTCTGACACAACCAACATTTGAGTTTTTACTTGTTAGGTCTCTCTTAAATTTTTTTCTCAAAAATAAAAAGGTAAATCGGTAACGCTAATGATCGATTAACCTTTGGTTAGTATTTTGGTTGCATAATAGGTCCACGTGACGGTGGTATGATGCTTACTTGGATTTCTCTTAAAGTTTAACTATTTTTAATTTAGGGAAATCTCCAAAAAAATCTCAATGTTTTACTCTAATTTACGAAAAAATCCCAAACTAAAATTTGTTTATGAAAAAGTCTCAATTACCGGTAAAAACAACGATTTGACCATATTTTCGTGTTTACCGGTTTCATTACTTACCCGGTTTTAATAAAGTCTCATTATTTTACCATAATTTACGAATAAGTTCCAAATTATGGTAAAATAATGGGATTTTAATAAAAATTATGGTAAAATAATAAGACTTTAATGAAACCAATTAAGTATTTGAACCAATAAATTAGAAAAAAAAAAAAAGGTCAAATAGTTATTTTTTCCGGTAATTAGGACTTTTTCATAAATCAATTTTAGTTTGGTACTTTTTCGTAAATTATGATGAAATATTATGACTTTTCCAAAGATTTTCCTTTAATTTATTATTATAATTATTTCATTATTTCATAAACTTACAAATAGTATTTTTTTTAAATAATTTTGCAAGTCATTATCATGAATAATGTGAAGAACATTTAACCATTTCGTATACTTTAAAGAATAATCAACATAATACCCATGCACCACCACCACCAACTCCATCTCCAATAACCTACACCATCGTCCACATCTTATCACCACAACACAAATTATACAAATTAAAACCCAAACAGTTTCAATATTATAGAAAAACTCGCCATCAAGACCATGTTTTCTAGATATCTCAAATGATCACCACAATCATATTAAAAGAAAAATAGATCAAAAGCAAAAAAAATATAAAAACCCAACCCAGTTACTTCATTTAAACTTTAGTATAGGTCAATATTTTACAAAAAAAAAAAAAAAAAAAAAAAAAAAAAAAAAAAAAAAAAAGAGTTCGAACTTCCATGTTTAATTAATAATAACAAAAAACACAAAACTTGAATCTAGGTTAAAAACCGACTATAAGAAACACTTTAAACGTATGCTTTCTTTGTTTGGATATGGAAAAAACTCTAAGAATCGTCAAGATCTGCAGAAGTCACTGTCTTTCTAATTTTGATATTTTATAAATTTACAAATCTGTAAATTAAAATAAAATTTGGGTCGAATTGTAAAAAAGGAAAAACTTGGTAACATGTTATACATGCAATAGCTGGTCACATTGACTAATTTGGAACAATTGCTATGGTTGATTACTAATTGAAATAACCTAGAAGTGTGAAAATTGGTGATTTAAAGGCATTTAAAAAAGAGTGTTGGTTATAATTGTATTGTTTGAACACCTTTTGTAAGTATTTTAGTCAAATATATGTAAAAAATGAGTACATGTGTATAATTATAAAAGTTGGTTACTGTCGTAAGTTTTTTTATTCACCAGATGTTGGATATATTTGATAACCAAAACATGAACATGCGGAAGCATAAACTGTAGATATTTATTCTCGAATCTATTAAAAGAAAACTTAAATATGAAAGAATGATTATTACATACATGATCACATCAAGTTTTTCGGATCTAGAGACTATGATGGGTTTTCAAATTGATCTAAAAGATTCTTTCTAAATCCCACAACAAACCCTAAAACGAATTTCTTGTATTTATTTTATGTATATTTATTTTCACCTCATCATATGTATATATAGATGAAGATCTACCTTAATGTGAGAGATATAAGGATATATAGGATCTTGAGTCAAACCGAGAACTCAAGCCACAAAAGGTAAGTGAATATCCTATAAATCAGTCAATCAACAATATATATTCTTACCATAATAAACAAATTTAATGATAATATTATGCATATTTATGAAATTGTCCTATAATTATCTAACAATCTCCCACTGAACCACGAATATGTAAATGTACATATAGCCATATAAGCACCTTAATGAATGTTATTATATTATTGGTACCCTTAAACAAACTCGTCCACTAATCATAATAGTATAGAATCAAAGCGATATTCGTTGCAATTTACGTAACTAAACCTATCAATGGTCATATATACATATATAACTGACGACATAGATTAAACATGATGTGTGGTTTTAAAATCAAAATAGATTTCCAAAGAATTCCTCTTTAGCTTGAAGCAAGATCAAACTTCAAATAAGTGCAACTAATAATGAAATTAACCAAATTCTTAATTTTGTACAGAAAAACATAATTGTTCTTAAACAAAACATGAAGCACCATAAAACTCTCACTAAAACCAAATATCATACCAATGTGTGTAGTATGCTCATGAAAGACCTAGTGATGTAATTCATTCGTGAGCGGATCCGCTATCATGGAGTTTATCTAGATAAGCTTTATAAATATTTGTCCACTTGCACTATTTATTTAACAACCTTAAACTGGATGTCAATATGCTTTGACTTAGTATAACTTCTACTATTGTTGGAATATAACATTATTTACTTATTGTCACAACTTTAGTGGTCTTTCTCTACCAATAATATGTAACCTTGTGACGAATTTTCACAGCCATATTCTATGGATTAATGCTTCATAACATGCTACAAATTATGTTGCCATTGTGGAAGAAGTTACTGAAGTCTATTCCATGAAATGGGTCATCACGCTAACATGTAAAAGTATCCCGATATGGACCGCTAACCATTTTGGCATCTAATAAAATCAGATTCCGAATACAAATGATTTCCAGAACACCCGATTTCCTATATCTGAGCATGTAGCCTTTTGTTCTCTATAAACATCTCAAAATGCATTTGGATGCTTTTCAATGATCCATAACTTGGTTGCTTAAATATCTGCCCCAACATCCCTACAATACATTGGCATGTACATACTTGAGCATACATCGGATTCCCAAATGTAGAAAACATACTGAATCTTCTATATCTCTATAACTTCAAGGTCCTTCATTTAACAATATTTTAATTTATTGCAAGCAATATGTCATCAACATATAGCACCAGAGAGATATATTCACTCCACTAAATTTTTGATAAACACAATCATCTATTGTATTTATCTCAAAACCAAAAGGAGATAATAAATTGATGAAACTTGTGGTACCACACATGAGATATCCAAAGTTGAGGTTGTTGAGTTTGTGTATTCTGAATAGGAGAATGAATAACATTTTCGGTCTCTGATTCATCTATACAATTGAACACGATAATAGGAATCGAGATTAATTCCTCCTTAAGGACAATATTTTAACCTTGCTTCTCCCCAAAACTCAACATCATCAAAGAATGTTGCTCTATGAAACTGAGAATTAACATAATGTATATGGAATGGTGCCTCATAACCTTGCTTGATTGTAGACTCCAACATGAATAATGGTGCATATAAAGTAAAAATGTCTACAGAGGTTAGAAACTTCTTCCTTGAGAACTATCCAAGTGCCACATTCATCATTATATCACCCGATACTTTTATCATAATTACGTGTTGTTGACTTTTAATATTAGTGAAGTTTTGGGTCCATGCAAATTATTGTTTCAGAGTCTAACTTTAAATATTATGCCAACATGAATGTTTGTCCTTATCGGCTTTTGCTAGACCTCCTTTGAGGTTGAACCTTCAGTTTTATTTGTGACTGATAAACATATAACACGACTTATTAGTATTACATATATGTGGTTGCACTAATTTATGACAAAGTTAATAAGTAACTTGCATCTTAAAAGCATTCCTAGATGGATAAATTCTATGGATGCAGTTTTATGATCCACTTAAATAATGAATATTGTTTTCGTTTTGTACACATTCGATCACTTATTTTAATATACGAGTTAACTTGTTGGTTTTGTCCACATTACGTCCTTA